TTTTTCAGGTACAGTCTAGTTGATATAAGAGAAAGCAAGATGGAGCTGTGGTTCCTAGTCTTAGTTCATGTTAGCCTTTAGTTTTGACGGCCTGTGAGCCACTATGTTATACAACTGTTATTTATGGATTATGATTAGTTGATTAGTAGTATGTGCATCTAAGTTCTAAGCTTAGATGTGACATAATATCCCCAACTATTATGTTTAGCTTACGCTTTATTCTACTATTAATGTTAGACTTTATCGCATTTCTTAAGCTTAAAATGTTTTAACATATGCCGAAAATCAGGGGTGTTACAGTTGGTATCAGAGCTTAGGTTTGAGTCTAGGTTAATGCTTTTAGAGTAGGACTTTAAGATGTTAAGCTAGAATTCTAAGTGTTTAAGTACTTAGGATGTAAGAATCTTAGGACGCGCGGTTAGAATGTGAGTTTATCGATTTCTGTTAAGTTTCCTATGCTTGTTCTTTATTTAGCTTTAGTTCTTTTAGTTAAGGCACCAGGTAAGGGTGCAAGTAAATAGGTTTACCTCCGTAACCGGATGGTGTGCATCTATTGGTAAGTTGCCTTGCCTCGCTTTGCTAAAGGATATAGCTATTACTAAGATAAAGGATTTGGATGCTTAGTGATGCAAGGAAGAGAACTTATGGTGTTGACATTTGGTCTCGTGGTCAACTCAAAGAAGAAGGATGCTTATGGACCGAGTTTCTTACAACCATGGTTATAGTTCGAGTATTCAAAGGACCCCTTACAAGGTTTTGTAAGATCAAGAGTGCCGAAACTCATGGTACTAAAGAAAGTGTAAAGAATACATTGGCATAAGGGCCTCATTGGTTTTAAGGAACAACAAGAAAGTAAAACGGTTCATAAAGTCACCGAGTCATTCCACGACGAGAGTAAGTAACCGACTGAGCTTCTAGAAAGAGAAATGTGTTGCTAAGTGCTTTAATCACTAAAGGTATAACATGAACGTGCAACAAGCCGAATTCCAGGAAAGACATGAAGTTTTACTAAGAATTTCATTTACTAAGGTAGAGATGAAATTCAATAAGGCGAGAAAGTCGACCCGAAGTTCCTTGATCCTTAAGAGACCTTAGAAAGAATTGGGAAATAATGTGACCTAAAGATTGGCTTTGCTAACCGACTGGGTCAAGACATTTGAGTGCTTTGGAGAAGTATGTTTCGAATTCATCGTGGGAATTCCTTCAAATGTAGTAAAGATGGATAAGGCTTGGGCTTGTGAAGAGAGTCCGACGAAGATCTTAGGGTCAAGATGTGCTAGAATCAAGGAAAAAGGATCATCAGTTTGTCAATATGTCGTGATCGAATCTTCAAACCAGAGTTATCGCTTGAAGTCGAGAATTCTTAGCCCTCTTAAAGCCGAATTCCTTCCCTTCTATGTCAAATCGAATACTGTTTCGTTGAGAAATCCTTTCTACCACTTCGAGTTTCGTTCTTGATTCCTCATTTCAAATGATTCTGTGCAAGGTGACAACCTTATTTCCTAAGTTGCAACCTTGATGACTTTGATCTTATTCCTATTTAACGTTGTCCTCAAGTTTGAAACCTAAAACTTCCATTCCCTTTTCCCTTTTTGAACCAAATCTTTCCAAAACGTAGTATAGATATTTACTAAAAATATATTTTCTGTATACTACCATACATGTTTTAACTCTTTATCCCTAAAATGACTTTTAAGCTTCGAGGACGAAGCTTCTTTTGAGGGGGGAAGAGTTTAGCACCCCGTATTTTCTTAAATATTTATATTAAATATAAATATTATCCAAATGGAACTATTTAATTGTAATTAAATATTTTGCTATATATATATATATATATATATATATATATATATATATATATATATATATATATATATATATATAAACCAAAATATGTTACTATGGGCTTTGGTTAATTATTTTAAAAACTATTATTTATTTTACTACTCAAATTCCTTAAACCCTAATATATTTGTATCTTATGAGTAAGTAATCTTGGACCCATCAACTACCCCAAGCCCTTATAAATGTACATATATATTATATTGTGAGTCTAAAATATTGAGCCCAATATATATAATCCATCCTCCTAAATATATATATATATAAAGCCTAAGCCCAACCCAACACAAGATAGATCAGTTGTTATATTATAGACCGCGGTGCATGATCGATTATGCACCGCGGCCCATATACAGCGCCGTTTCTTTAAGTTAAGAAACGGCCCGCCGTTAGAGTTAACGGAGTCCGTTTGTTTGGTGTATTAAACACCAACTGACACTACAGTATATTCAAACCGACACTGCATTTATATCAAAATGATACTGTAGTTATAGTGAAATGAAACTGCAGTGTATATAAACTGAAACTGAATAACATTTCACATATTTGAGTGTATATTGTACAATGAAGCTGTAATTATATCAAAATGATCATGTAGTTGTGTTTTAATAAAACTATAGTGTATATAAAATAAAATTAAATAACATTTTCACATATT